TCAGGTGATCAGAAGGAATTTCAAACAAATCCGACTGTTGCCAATAATTGACTCTGAGGCAATTTCGAACGAAACCCTGCGAGAGACCGACTCGTTTCATAGACCAGATGCAGAGACTACCCCCTCGCATTCACACGCTTGACGAAGAGATCCCAATTTCAGATGCTGACCTAACACAACTTCCTTCAGAACGGGCCGACCTACCAGAACCTGTGATTATGGAACATACTCAGAATCGAAAGAAACATGAACGTCTCATCCATTCTCCTCCATTGCTGCTTCCCAAATCAAAAAAGAAACGACACTCTTTGATCATTTTGAATTTCACGAGTGCTAATTCTCTCTTTGGGGGAGGGCATAATGTGAAATAGCCTTATAGATACCGTGTGTGTACAAACACACACTTTTTGAGACCGGACTAGTAGCCCTTAACAAAACAGCGGGACAGTCTATCTGTGTTGGATGGGTGTGTGTGTGTGTGTCGGTGCACACACATTCTATGAAAAGATATCCCACACTGCGGGGTTGAAAATGTTGGATGGCAAGAAAGGGGCTCGGATGTGTAAAAAGAAAAGTATGCGCAACCTTTTTACTTGGGGATCAACCTTTTTACTGATATAGTGCCTGATAATGTATGTGTGTGCATACCGGTACCGGTCTCGGCTTTTAGACAACAACTCTGTTCATCACATATCCTCCCGCCCTCCACACAATATAACATTTACCAACTAAGCGCCAACGCGCGTACAACTAGCGTGCAATTAGCGCACAAGATTTTGTCGCAGTCGGATGGGTTCTCTTTGCGGTGTCTTGCCTCGTAAAGAAGTACAACCATTCCTGCGCAATCTCCAAAGCAAAGGTAATTGTTGAGTCTGGTACTTGTTGCAGTAATATACTTGAGCGTGTGGGCAAGAGATGTGTTAGAATCGGAGTTGTAGTATAAAAGGTGTGACCGATACCGAGACCACATATAATCAGAATCTATGTTGTGTATGTACCGGTAGTCTCCTTATTGCTTCCGCATGTTGATGGTGTACTCCAGCGACATCAAGGTCGCACAAGAAGTTACTTATTTCCAAGGACAGCATGGCGGCACTTCGCCAATTGCAGGAAGTAGGGCAAGACAACTTTTCATATCTGACGTGAATTATTGGAAATTTAGCTCCGTGTCTCTAAGTCGCTGCGCTTAAATTCTTCACTGGTATTGAATTTGGTTCGTGCCAGGTGCAGTACTCGGGGTCTAGGCAACGATCTAGGTTCTTGGGGATGACCTCTGTTTCGAATGATACACCATAACGCCTGATCAACTTCTTCATTAACAAACTATTTCAGTAGCAGGTCCGGGTTCCTCTGTAT